TCCGTGAGCCCCCGCCGACCCGTGCGCTTTTCTTGTTCTGTCGGGTTGGAGGGGGCGGTGGGGGGGGTGGAGGCGGCGGCGGCCTCCACCGGCCTTTTTCCCGGCGCAGAGTCACTTTATGCCCCCCGCCAACATGGCTGCTCCCCCCGCCCGGCCCGGCCCGGCCCGAGCGCCAACCAGATCGTCGCCGCGTTGCCTCCTTTGCTCGGCCACGGTACGATTCCGGATGCTTCCTGACGACTCCGCCGCCCTGCGCTTCGTTGCCAAATGAGATCGACTGAGCGGCCGCCCAGGAGCACCAGAGCCCTGCGAAGCAGCCGTGGCGCAGACCCGAGCCAGTGCGACAGCTAGCGGCTGGCGAGTTATTTGCCGCCGCCGCCGCCGCCGCCGCCGCCGCCGCCGCCGCCGCCGCCGCCGCCGCCGCCGCCGCCGCCGCCGCCGCCGCCGCCGCCGCCGCCGCCGCCGCCGCCGCCGCCGCCGCCGCCGCCGCCGCCGCCGCCGCCGCCGCCGCCGCCGCCGCCGCCGCCGCCGCCGCCGCCGCCGCCGCCGCCGCGACGGGACTGGAGTGGAAACGGCGCTCTCGGCCTTCCCCGGCTCGAATGCAAACTTGAAGCGGTCTTTTCTTTGGGACGCTTAACCTCGCTGAAGGAAATCCGTGCCAGGATTAGATGCTCAGACTTGCTTATTTACGGCTACGATATTTTATTTCGTAAACTACATCTTCCTGCCAACGCTGTCAGTTTGTCAGGAACAGCCCTTGTGTTGTACCTGTCTCTAATTCGAAGAGAGCTTCATTTTTGTTTGTCTTTTATGCATTTTTCCATTCGGTGTCCTGCCTATAAACTAAACATTGCTGAACCTGTCCCAGTAGGAACTATTAAAATCAGCAGGGGTACAGACATTTATTTTTAATACATAACATAGCCGTACTCAAAAACATGATTGAAATCTCAGCTTATAAAATGAACTGCATAATAAAACGGAGAGCTTACACTTTGTGACGGCTCCTGGTGAAAATACAAAAATTCAAGTAACAGGTTCTCATGGTCTCTCAGGGTTTTTACATGGCTTCAATAGATCCTTCTGAGATTTTATTCTTGTGTGTAAACATTTTTCAGTTAGTCCTGGCTTTGTGCAAGCTATCATTTGGCTACTTTTATTTCTTCAGCTTGAATGAGGATCATACTGTAGTCTCACACAACTGAATACAAGTTTTATTTCCATCTCCCAGCTTTCTCCCAGGTACTTAACGCCTTGACGTTATCATAGAGAATTCATTTTTTAAAAGTTGCCTGAAATGCTGTCACTCAAATATTTACACCCCAGTCAAGGGCACCAGTTTAATTGAAAGGAGAAGTTGGAAGTCTGCCTTTTCTCCTGGACATTTTTTTTTTGCTCTCCGTGTGCTCCTTCTTATTATTTTATTGGCTAAAATTCAGTACTCTTAACACAGTACCTTTCAGTAAAATATTCCCCAAAGCATTTACAAGAGGTAGTCTAGGCTTGAATAGCAACAGTTCTTAACCTAATGAAAAGGGATTTCTGGTGTTGATTTCAGGCCTATGTATAGTTAAGCTTAGGGTCTGTTGCAGATCAGGTGGACATTAAGTGGCTCCTCCCAGGACATACTTGTAGAACATGCCTGACTCAACCTGGTGTGAACTGTGAGTAAATTATGTCCCTGATAATCCAGTGCCAGATTAGAGAAACAAGTGAGGGATTCTTTTAGAACTTCCAAGCCACCTTCACTATGAATGGCAGGCTTTTATTTTCTTTTTCTTTTTCAGTTACCAAAAAGAAGGGAGAGAGAGAGAGATAATGGTACCCCAGAGGCTGTGTTTTAGTAGCCTGCAGGTAAGCTGGTTGCAAAACCCATTCTCGGGTACCTCTGCTTGGGAAAGGGCTGGACCGCTTGGAGTTTGGGGAGCTCCCCTATAAATGGCACATGAAGTGCTCTTTTCTATACGTGCACATGTTTTATGACCCTCCATAAGGATCACATAATGCCACCCAGATCTGCTACCACACTTTCCTCTAGGTCCATAGCTCACATCACACCAGTGGGCAGGCCCTCGGGCACATGTGCAAGAGGGGGAATTGGCTGAGGATGGAGATCACAGACTTGCATGTTAGTGATGTTTTCCACCCCTTGT